TATGACCGGTCTGTAATAGTACTACCGGTCCGGGAGTCGGTATTAGTTTTGGTCTGGAAAAAATTACTATATATATTTTATATTTTCTTTAATTATTTTTGGAGTGATGTAGCATGATTTTTATGGGTAGAAAGTAAGTAAGGAATATTTTGAAGAATTGTATTTAGATAATTAGTGAATAGTGAATTATGATGCTTTATTAATTAAGGAAATTTGAGGAATTATTTTTATGGAGTAATTTGAGAAATTTGTGGAGATCAATAATATTTTGAAGGAGTTGAATTGGAGAATATTTTTAGCCATTAGATGAGATTACTTTTGACTTAATCTTAGCCATCCAATTGTGGGAAAAGACCAAAACACCCTGAGTTGCTTTATAAAGATCAACTCCAATAATTGAGCAACCACTTTTTCTCTTCTTCTTCTTCTCTTCAACGCCAACTTCCTCTCCTTCTTCTCTTTGAATTCCACCTCACCACATAAGTAATTGAATCTGAGGTGAAGCTTAGAGAAGAGATTTTTGGTTGGGACTAATTTCTCAAGAAATTCTTGAGAACTTTTCCTACTTGGGTCAATAGGGCGGAGAAGTCTGTCTACCAAAGGAGGAAAGCGCAAGCATAAGGCTTAAAGAGTTTTAGTTTAAGCTTGATTAGGAGCCTTGTTTTTTAAGGTTAGTGTTACATAAACACAATTACTTGTTTAAATTTTCATAAACACAATTACTTTGTTAAAATTTTTTATTTTGTGAAGTTTATACTATTTTGTGATAATTGGGAATTTTATATGAAATGATTTGATTATTGAACTTTAGTGGTATAAATGTGTTCTTGGGAGATTTCTAAGCATGCCTATATGTGGAATTGATGAGGAAAACATTTTCTTCTTCATCTTCCACGAGTGGCAGAATCTATTGATTAATAAGGCCTTAAGTTTTCTTGTTATTCTTTGTTGGTTTATGCTCTTAGGATGATTTTTAATGATTATTTAGTATGTGGTAGAAATCTCTACCTTGTTTCTTTGTCTTTCATGTTCTTTTCATGGTTGAAGTAAGCTGAATTTGGGAAAAAGTGTTATTGTGTGAGATTAAGGACTAGTTTTTGACCATTTCTATTTTCCATTTGTGCCTGAGTCCGTCATAAAATTTGTAGGTATACTTCGTAGCTTTCCAACCCATCCTCTTGTGTCCAATTTGGAGATACATAGCTCAACTTATGGCTGAAACATCCAAACTGACTCTATTATGCCGGGCCACATGCATCTTTGAATTGATGCATCTGTTGAATTGGAAGTGCCCAATTTAACCACTATAATGAAAGATTATGTTATGAGTCTTCATGAGAGTTGTTTTTTCCTGTGTCTTGAGACTTCCCTGGTTTTGGAATTTGGTTTAATTTAAGTGTTTGGTGAAGTAGGAATTTAATAATAACATTGGATTTAGTTCTTGCTTGAATCAAGTCTGGACTGTGGTCGTGTTTCCTACACTTCTGCTTACCATCTTACACATTGATATGGGTTGTGGGATCCCTTCATACACATTTGTAGCATTTTTTCTTATGCTTTCTAATGAAAATCTAACTTCATTCAATTTGGAGACCCATAAACTCAAGTTATGTCTTAAAAACACAGCAAAGGGTCAAGGTTATTTTAATACTTGAAAATTCCCTATGCCTTGAATCATGGGTTTATTTGGATAAACATGTATGTAACATAGGTTCTCTTGATTATTAAGAAGACAAAAATAAGATAATAAGTTGAAAAGTTATTAATGTTAAATGGATATAAAGGAAATATTGTGAAAATAAAAAATATTTAGATAATGCAAAAAAGAAACCGCTGCATAACGAGTATGTTTAGTATGTTGGTTGGAGAAGGAAATTGCCTCCCCTTGGTTTTCATAATATGAGGCCCAAACCACTCGTTAAAGGGTGGTAAGACTTACTTAATTTTTTTTTTTTTTTTGTATGGTATTGCTATCTATTATATATATGACATAAGTTATGAATTATTTTGATAACTTTCAATATGTTGTAGAGTTTTAAAAAACATGGGTTATTTAAGGTGTATGTGCTTTAATTCTTCGAATAGGGAAAGTATGCATTTTACATGATTAAGGAATGTTTCTTATGATAAAATTTTCATTTTGACCTTAAGGAAAGTTTATAAAGAAAAGAGAATTATGAAGAAATTTCTATATTTAAGAATTATGTTTAAGGTAAGAAATTTTTCATGGAGGTTTACTTATGTTCATCTAAAGTAAGCTTACATTAATGAATTTAAGAAGACTAAAGAATAAGACCAAGTTTTATGAGAAGTTATTAATGAATCTAAGAATGATTTTATTGATTTTGGGCTCTACTATGGCTTGATGAAATGTGCTATGATGAGATTGATTTGGTTATATGAAGCTTATGAATCATATGTAGGGTTATCAGGCCCTTTATAAATAGGCAGGGACGCAACTTTATTTGTGTGATGGGGGGTGGCACTTTTCATAGGGCCACGATTTGTGTTGATTCGGTGGTTGGGTTGGGCTTTTATAGGCCCGACGATTCAGTGTTGATCGGGTTTTTGAATGGCGCTTAACATAGGGGGTGGCGCTAACATAGGTCACGATCAAATTTGCTTATGTTCATTCTGTATTAGTACAAGCCTTAACTAAGAATGAAATGTTATTTTTGCTATAAAAGAATGAAGACATATTTATATTTATAATCTTCTTATTGCTTTCAAAGTGTTTCAATTAAATTAATGTGATTTTAGTATTTATATAATTGAGTAATTTAAAGCACTTGCGAGACTTGCCTTGGCTACTCTTGTTATTTTAATTGTTGGTTATTTAGCACCACTGAGTCTTCTACTCAGCGCGTTGATTTTTATCATGCGCAGGTTAGGAGCAGAGGATGTTTGTCAGGACCAGAGGAGTAGATCAGAGTAAGATATCCATTTTGGGTAGGATGTTTTGTAAACTGGTGATTTTTGGCATGTATATAAAATATTGTTTTATGGAGTGTCTTATATTTGACTAAGAAGTGTATAATTTATTAAGAGTTATTATTATTTCAGGAAATAACATCTTATTATATTTTTGGTGTAGAATGATTATATATTCCTTGAAAAAGGAATGTCTTTCGAATATTGTGATGGCACCTAAGTCTATTGACGAATATTAAAATGTTATTGAGGATTTACATAGTTATGAAAATATAGAAGTGTTGTTGTGTTATGATGATTATTTGGAGATGTTTGGAGTTTGGAGTTTAATTGGGAGTGTTTTGTATTCATATGTTTAGCGAGCTCAGTTTTTAAAGGGAAATTCTTACAGTATTTCTGTAGGATTTTGTAGGAATTTTCCCAATCTATTTTTTTTTAAAAAAAAAAGGAGATGGAAAATGAAATGAAATTATTATTCTTAATAAAAAAAAAATAAAAAAAACATATTACTCGCTAAACTTGTGAATACTCAATTATTTCTAATTCATAATCTAATTTTATGATTTATATATTAAGTTAAGATAGTGTCTCTGGCACCGCACCAAATGTGGCATCCGTCGTCGGGTCTCACGGGACAGGGCGGAGGGTGTTACATCCTAATTGACCTTGGGTTGATATATCTATGGACTTTGTGCTTCGTTTACCTAGGACTAGGCGTGGTAGAGACAGTATATTTGTAGTTATTGATAGATTTAGCAAGATGGCTCATTTCATTCCTTGCCATAAAACTGATAATGCTAATGTTGCTGATCTATTCTTTAGAGAGGTGGTACGGTTACATGGGGTGCCACGAACTATAGTTTCTGATAGGGATGCAAAGTTCCTTTCACATTTTTCAAAGGAGAGCCAGATCCTTCGAGAATAGGTAGAAGAATTACTGAAGAAGGGACATATCCGGGAGAGCATTAGTCCTTGTGGGTTCCCTACTTTATTAGTACCAAAAAGGATGGGACTTGGAGGATGTGTGTTGATAATCGAGCAGTCAACAAGATCATGGTGCAGTATCGAATCCCTATTCCTTGTCTAGAGGACATGTTGGACCAATTGTCAAGATCTATAGTATTCTCTAAAATAGATCTTCGTAGAGGGTATCATCAAATCTGAATCAAGGAGGGAGATGAATGGAAGACTGCCTTTAAAACCAAGGAAGGATTATATGAGTGGTTGGTTATGCCGTTTGGGTTGACTTATGCACCGAGCACTTTCATGCGACTTATGACTCAAGTTTTGCATCCTTTCTTTCGCAAATTCGTGGTCGTGTACTTTGATGACATCATGATTTTCATTCGCAGCAAGGAAGAACACCTTTAGCACCTTCGACGGGTGTTAGATGCTTTGCAAAAAAAAGAGTTGTACATCAATCTTAAGAATTTCATTTTTATGATGGAGCAGATTCTGTTTCTTGGTTATATTATTAGCTCGGAAGGAATTCATGTTGATAATAAAAAGATTGAGGCTATTCGAAATTGGCCTATTCCCAAGAACATCACTAAAGTTCGTAGTTTTCATGGTCTTGCTACTTTCTATAGGCGGTTCATCAGGAACTTTAGCAGCATCGTGGCCCCATCACCGATTGTTTAAAGAAGGAGAGAGTTCGTCAATTTGTATGGACCGAAGCTGCTCATCAGGAACTTTAGCAGCATCGTGGCCCCATCACCGATTGTTTAAAGAAGGAGAGAGTTCGTCAATTTGTATGGACCGAAGCTGCAAATAAAAGCTTTAAAGAGATAAAAGATAAGCTTACTTCCACCCCTATTCTTACTTTACCTGATTTTGATAAATTATTTGAGGTTGATTGTGATGCCTGTGGAATTGGAATTGGTGATGTGATGTCACAATCCGAAAAGCCTATAGCATTCTTTAGTGAAAAATTGAATGAAACTGGGCAGAAATGGTCTACTTATGAGCAAGAATTGTATGCAATTTTTTGAGCCTTCAAAACTTAGGAACATTATTTACACTAATCATCAAGCTTAAATTCATTCCAAACTCAAAAGAAATTGAGCAAGATGCATGCGCATTGGGCAACTTATTTTGGTGCTTTTCATTATGTCATCAAGCACAAAGCAGGTACTTGTAACACGGCTGCAGATGTTTTGAGCAAGAGAGCAGCATTGTTGATTATAATTAAGCAAGAGATTGTGGGGTTTGAATTTCTTAAAGATCTTTATGCTTCTGATGAAGACTTTACTGACGTATGGGCTAAGATTGAAACTAAACAGCCTACCGACGATTTCTTAGTTCATGACAGGTATCTTTTCAAAGAAAATAGGCTATGCATTCCTCGGCCTTCCCTCAGAGAAAACTTAATCCAAGAAGTCCATGGTGGAGGTTTGAGTGGACACTTGGGCCATGATAAAACTATTGCGGATTTGGAGGCTCATTTCTATTGGCCATAGTTGAAAAAGGAAGCAGAAAGCTAGTATAGAAATGCTCCGTTTGCCAGACTCAAAAGGGCCATTCTCAAAACACCGATCTTTACTGTAACACCCCTTCCCGGTCCACCCGTTAACCCGAATGAACCGAGTCGAGATGCTACAACACTGGTTGACTGTATGATTAGACATGCTATAGTTGAAAAAAGGAATAGCAGGTAAGAAGGCTAGCTATAGAAATTCGCTCCGTTTTGCCAGACTACTCTAAAAAGGGCCATTCTTCCTACAGACAACCGAATTCATTTACTAGTAACACCCCCTTTCCCGGATACCAGAACCCCGATTCTAACTCCAGAATTGAACCGAAGTCGAAGAGCTACAACACTATTGTGACTGGGTATGATTTAGACTCTGATATCATAAATACTGAAATTTTATACCATATATTTATTATACAGTCCGATTTACGATAGGTTAATTACTAGTGTATCGTGGAATGATTTAGCCTTTACTAACATACGTTATACAAGTGTGTATGTCCAATAGGCTGAAGCAGACAGTGGTGTTAAAAAAACAACTTGACTACACCACCTATATCAACATGAGTATAACAAAATGCCCTTGTACGAAGTTGTTTACATTAATAATGTAATGAATATATACATAACATGATACTAGTTTACAAAATGAAATGGGCCCAACTGTGTGCCCTGTACATGCCATGAAAGGAAAATAAAAAGATACACATCAAAATGAGTAGCTACCCTGAAGACTGTGTCTTCAACAGATGAACTGCTGCAGTTGTAAGCTGACGCTCTCTAGACCAGTCTCAAAAAAAAACCTGCGAGTTAAACATGTAACTCGCTGAGCTATACAAGCCCAGTGGATATCTCAATATAGAAAGACATAATTAAGCACACATATATGCAGAAAGAATTATGTAAGTACATATAATCCATATTATCACACATAACATACGGCTTTCCATTTCACCTTGATTGATGCTTTCCTTATGTTTATTTTACTGTCGATTCAATGCAATAGGCATAAGTTTAAAATATTCTGTATGGGCTCCATAAGGTTATAGTGAAAACGCGGAAGTGGATAAAGATAAACTGTATGAAACTGAATGAAACTGTATGCTAATAAGGCCCGAACCGATTCGCCTATGCATATTGTCCGTTTTGGTGCCCGCTAACCGGATTTGCACTGCACGGTTTAATCAATATCCACTCAACGGCCCTGTAAAGCCAGACAGTCCAACTGTATGGGGCGCAGATCTGTATTCTACTGTCCGAGACTAGCCCTTATCTAATGGTTTTCTATCCTACCTCAATGGAGCTTAAAGAATTAGCATTTCAACAATGTAAACACAAGTAGCACATAAAATGGTTTCACAACGTCATAGTTCATCAATATTGATTTGATTTGCACACCCAATATAAATGCTTTACAAATGTTTGTTTTAATCCATGTTCTTATATTATATTTTTGTTTTACAATGATTGGATGCCATCCATGTTTGAGCAAAGGAAATGTAATTGTATAAGAAAATGAAGTCCAAAAATGCAATGAAAAACACAAGTTCGCGAGCGCGCAGGGAAAAGTCCGAGCGCGAGATTTGCCTTCAGGGAGAAGTCGCGGCGCGTCTTCAAACCTCGCGAAGCGCGAGAAGTGCAATCGAGAGTCTCAAGAGAGGTTTCTGGCTCAAGTTCGCGACCGTGCAGCACAAAGTCACGATCCTCCCGCGCGAGATGAAGTCGTGGGGAAAAGCGCGCTTGTGGAGTTCGCGAGCGCGAAATGTGGCCCATTTGAGAGTCAGGAGTTTTTTGGCCAAAGCTCGCGACCGCGCAATGTGAAAGTCCGCGAGCGCGACTTGCTTTCAGACCGCGCGGGCCGCGCGAACGTGTTTCCCAGATTGTGCAGTCTGTTGTTCTTTTGGCCATAACTCATCAAATATACAACTTCAAAAATTGAGTGATTCAAAAGCCCACGTAAAAAAGATAACACATAGAGGAACAAATAACTCCTTCTATGACAATTCTAGTTTCCATCAATTTACTGGGGTCAAATCAAAGATGGGAAGTTTGCCTGGTAAAATTTCCAGCAAAAAAAAAAAACTTTTTTTTCCCTTTTTTTTGGGGGGGGGGTTTTCCCATAAACTCATTCCATCCCCTGTTTTCACATCCATTTTCAATCCTCCTCACTCCCACAAAGTAAGCAACATATGAATCTCAATGAGCAACACTCCACACAATTTTTTCATGCATAAGAACATGGGAAATAACAAAGAGATATCAAAACCCTGTCTTGCCACAAAGCTTGGGGCTCTGTTTTAGGCTTCTTTTTTCTGCTACCGTTGAACCTTTCTTCTCCCTATATCACAAGAATTCTGCAATAAACTCATCCTGCTCCAATATAAACTCAATTAAAGAGTGAATAAACATATAACTTTCAAGAATTCTACCTTACTTGAGTGGACTTACTGCGTAATCTTGCATGAAAGTGCAAGGAATGGAAGGGAAACGTAAAGAAGAAAATGAAAAACGTGAAAATAGGAAAGTGAAAATGATAGGACGGGTAGACATCTTTCTAGAAAGAAGTGAAAATTTGGCCCTTGTGTTTTTTTTAAAAACTCTTTTTCCCCTAATTTTGGGTTAAAACCCCCTTCAAAAGTTAACAAGGCCTTTATTTACAAACCCTTACTACCCCAAGCCTTATATGTTTTGGGGAGCAAACAGATCCTACTTTCCAATGGCAAATAAGTCCACTTATCATCCATGTCTACCCAACCAAGGTTTGGTTCAACCGACTCAACTCAGAGGATGTTACAGTTCTCCCTTCTAAAATAAAAACTTCATCCCGAAGTTTTACCTGTTGTAAACAAATGCGGATATTGTTGTCGCATGGTTCTCCTGATTCCCAAGTTGCTTCTTTGTCTTATGATTCCTCCAAAGAACTTTCACGCAAATGCTTTTTCGTTTTTCCGCAATTCTTTTAGTTTCCTTTGGTAGGATCTGAACTGGTTCTTCTTCATACGTGAGATCCGGCTGAATTTCAATCTCGCTGCTGATAACACGCATGTGAGGGGGGGAGTTCTGATCTGTATCTTTCTCAACATGGAATACATGAAATACAATTATGGATCGATTAGAAGGTTGGAGGTATATCTTAGGCGATAGGTCTAATGGTCCTAAACGCTTCAACAATCTCGTAGGACCCAATGAACCTAGGACTTAGCTTACCCTTTTGTCCAAACTTAGGATCTTCTTCCATGGTGAAACCTTCAAAAAATTACTTTATCCCAACTGAATACTCATGTCCTTTTCTCTTTAAATCCGCATAGGATTTTCCTGTCGATGCAACTTGCTTCCTTACAGCCGTCTCTGATGATTTCTACTTTCTCTTCTGTATCTCTCACAAATCTGGACGCCAAAATCTTCTTTCTCAACTAGTTCTGTCCAACATACAGGTGTTTCTGATCTTCTTAACCATACAATGCTTCATAGGGTGCCATCTGATGCTCGCTTGATAGCTGTTGTTGTAGGGCAAACTCCATGAGAAAGATACATATTTGTCCCAACTGCTCAAATTCAAATAACAATGATCTCAACATGTCTTCCAGGATTTGAATGCACTCTCTCCTGATTGCCATCTGTCCTGCGGATGAAATGCAAGTGCTGAAATGCAGTTTTCCGTTCTAAATGCTGCTTGAAAGTTTACCCCAGAAACTTCGATGTAAAACCTTGGAATCACCGATCAGAAGATAATGGATGATGGAAACTCCATGTAGTCGAACTATCTCACTAACATAAATTTCTGCTAACTTTTGTCCAGAGAAAGTCCGTCTTTAACTGGTAGAAATGAGCAAACTTGTTTAATCTGTCCACAATTACCCATACTGCATCATGCTTCCCGCTGTGTCTGAAGGTAAGCCAGTAACAAAGTCCATCGTGATCTGATCCAATTTCCATGTTGCAGCTAATTATGGGATGAAAGTAAACCCGGATGGCAAAGTTTGATTGTCTGCTTTTTACTTGTTTGACATTTAAACATCTTGTTACAAACATCTCCGATTGTCTCTCTTCATGCCATGGCACCAGTAGCCTTTCTTCAAATTCTTGATACATCTTGTGCTACCTGGTGCATTGGTATATGGACTGTTATGAAGCTTCAATGCAGAATCTTTTTGTCTGACCTCCCCTGTCTGTGGTACAACAATTTTTATCTGCAATAAAAACAAAAACTCCATGCTATCAATCTAAATTTCCTCCCACCTATCGATCTGCGCTGGACTTGTTTTAACCATAGGGGCTATTTTTGTGCATCTTTCTTCTGTGTCTTCTGCAACTTCCATGAAGCAAGATGGTTGTAACTTGCATCTGTGCGGGAATAGCTCCTTGCTGTTTGTAACTCCATAATAATTCTCATTAAGCTCAAGCAAATAACAAGGATTTCCGGCTAAGGGCATCCGCTTACCAGACAATTAGCCTTGGCCCGGATGATAATTAATGACATAATCATAAATTTAGCCAGAAATCTGCATCCACTCCGGTTGTCTTGAATTCAGTCCTTCCTGTGTTGGTAAGTAACTTTAAACTCTGATGATCTGTGTAAAATGTTAACACTTTTCACCATAACAGATAAATGCCGCCATACTTTGAAATGTAGAACAATGGCCTGCCCAGTTCTAAATCATGGGTTGGATATTCAACTCATGTGGTTTCAATTTGTCTGGAGACATAGGCGACACTTTCCCTTATCTTGCATGAGTACACATCCTAAACCCCAAATATGAGAAGCAATCACTGTAAATCATCAAAGTCCTTTACCTGACACTTGGCTGGGTCAACACTGGTGCTTTCAGTCAACTTTTTCTTCAAAAGTGTCAAAACTCTGCTGACATCTATATCCCATTGAATACAACTGCTTTCTTCAATAATCTTGTTAAAGTGATGAAAATTGATAGAGAAATCCCTTTACGAACCTTCCTGTAATAACCGGCCTAAACGCCAGAAAAACTG